AATAAAGGCCTCCGGCCCGACCCCCCCCCCCCCCCGCTAGGCCGACCGTACGTAGAAAGGGTCAGATGTTCTACTTGAAGGATCCTTCTTTGGCGTACTTCTACCCGGACGATACTGGTGCTCCTCCCTCCCGTCCCTCCGCCAACGACCGAAGCGAGCGGCCGGCTCCGTCCGGAAATCAACTCGAAACTACAGTACACCAGACCTAGGCTATTTGGAAAAAAAAAGGAGTAAGATTTGCGGAAGCAGGACATTGTCTCCCTCGTCTTGTGCCAGTCTGTAGTGCTAAGTTCCGGAAGATAACAGTTACACACGGTATCGGATGATCACATCAAATAACTGTATACTATTTGTCATGTTCATTTATGTTATTCTTACCTTATATTATCTTTGACACGGTCTATCAGATATATGTCATTAACCTTATCCAACTACTAATATACTCTACGTTTTGGGTCCTACTTTACGAATACCACAAAGACAAGTTTTCGAAGTCCACAATTTGTCAAAGAATACCGGAACACCCCTACTTCGACAGAGGGCTCAGTACAAGTTATGGTCTCCCACCTTCAGTGTCCCAACATACTGCTGTGTTATAATTTTAGAAACCACTTCTTATGCCTCTACGCAATGTAGTGTCAGACCGCGTTATACTAAAAGTCGGCTGATTTAAGTCCCAAGACAATAATATATCCTACTCATATTACAGGTAAAATTTTTTTTTTTTTTTTAGTACTTTACCATATAAGTTGAGGTGTTTTCTTTGAATTTATACTAACTCGTCTAACACAAGTGTATCTTTTGTTTCTAACTGGAAAAACCGAGAAGTCTTTGTGTTGACTTTGCCATATCATTGGTAATGTGGCCTACAGTGAACACATCTGTACAGCATCATTCGAAGGCGTCGCCCTTTTACAATCTCACACGATTAGTGCACACACAGTTGAGAATTGAAAGGCGACAAAAAAAAGTGATTGCTCCCTTTTTTTAGTTTTCTGTATTTTGATGGCTGGATTATACAGGTAATGTGGCGGGACAATGAAAGTCGTATTCTATCAACATGGAAGAAGCACCTAGAGTGAACCATGGGCAAGAGGCAGTCGAAACGATTACATTTATTTCTCTCTCTCTCTCTTATTTTTCTCTATCTCTCTTTCTCTCTCTGTTGTTTTTAATAGGAATTGAATGGAATGTTAGGTGTCTTGTAAATGTTTTAAAATCCTTTTAAACAAAAAAAGGAAAGAACTTCCATCAAAAAGACCTTGCTACCTGTCGCTGGATCGCCTCTGAAGTAAATTTGTTCGGTTTGTAATTTCTACTTCTCGTCTTGAAATGTTCTGATCCAGCTGGGGATGATATAGTTGCCTCCTCCTTCTTGTACATTTCTGTCCTTTTTGATTCTCCTCACAACACCAATGCAGACTTTATTATATTATTATTATTATTATTATTATTGTTATACAAATCATATATTCCTTCTGAGGCAAATATTGACTGAAATAAGGTTTCCATTCTTAAAATCCTGTCCCATGGTATTAAGCATTGAAGAAATAAAAATGTGGTTTCAACAGCCGTCTTTTCCCGTGTCGCCGCTTCAATGATCACAAAGAGAAATGTTTATTTGTGCCACAGTGGGGAAGGGGACAGCGCAGATTAACGGCTAAAATAAGTGTTTGTTAATATTGGATGCCGTAAAATGAGCGTTGGTGTGCCAGATTTTTCCGTCAGTGTTGCTGCCAACATTTTTAATAGGATACATTTTTCTTAGTTCAAGGAAAAAGTATGGTTTGATGGAACATGTGCCTTCATGACATTTCAGCTAATATTATTTGGCTTTCAGTTATCAGTTGCCAAGGGTCTCATAAATTGGAAACGCTTCATCAGCCTGGGACATCTGAAATTTTAGGAGCTTCAAATGAAGAAATCTCAGTCTAACTTTAACCGACTGGACTAATCAAGGTAAAAGTTTCGATGTCTTTCTGTGCTTCTAAATTAAGTTGAGACGGGCGTATTCTCTTACATGTAATTGGCATCATCTTGCAAAAAATAGAGGCTGTTGCTCTGATTTTGAGGTTATTCTTTCAAGGTAATTGGCTCCATTTTTAGTATATTGGATCACTTTGTATGGAAACATCTGCAGTTTCTTTTTGGCCCCAAACCGAGCTCATTTCAGCACGAAGGCAAAAACACTACCTTTTTTTTTACAGGATGCTTATTTCCCCCAAAAGTGAAACCTGCAATCATTTTATTAAAGTGTAAAATGGCATGATTCATACTGACTCCGAGAGGACAGGGTAGCGTGGGAACGGACCGCTGGATGTTCTTTGTTGGTTGCAGGAGAGAGGGCGAAGAACCAGTTCATACTTTACTGCAACTATGTACAGTTAGTGACGAGCTGAAGGATTGTGTCACATGACGCCCTTAAATAATATCTGTTTGCAAATCGATAGTTGTTCCCATTCACCACTTGAAAGGCAATGAGAAGAAGAGCAGGAAGGTAAGGCAGCTGCCAACACGTGCGTCGATCATAGTATTTCTGGGATCTAGACAACAAATCCATCTCAATCAGAATTAGTTGGAGATTAAGGATTTCTTTCGTGGCAAGTTATGAACTGACTTTTTATGACATACTGTACTATGACCTTTTTAATCACGTACAATACTTTACTTGTTAATACAACTTTCTCATGATGTACTTCATTACTTTTGCGACATACTATGGCCTTTTTTTTAACGAAATAATATACTATCTGCTCTTGTCACATGCTATAATATGACCAGTTTCTTATGACATACTATACTAAGACTTTTTTATATAACATACCTTTCTGACTGTCGAGACAGCCTACATAATTACTGTTTTATGACATACTATCAGATAACTTTTGTGACACTAGACTCTGACATACAATCGTTGCAATAATAACAATCTTGATAAACTATTTTAGAGGTAGGTATACTGAAAAAAACATTAAAGAGTATCAAAGATTTAATCTTATACATGTATCCAGTTACAGAGACATTTCTTGGAATCCATTTAAGGTTCTTCCGGATTCTGCACCATTAATTATAATTCACTGGCTCTTAGAAAGATTTTCCATTTAAGAACTAGTTTGTTATGATGTATAATGTTTTTTCGTATTGTAGAAGCCTGCTAGATTCAAACAGGTTCACTCATTCATTTTTAACCGAAAGCCCACGAGTGAAACGTTCTGTTATTTGGTGATTGCAAATTTGTATGCATTTAGAAAATTAGAATGTCTTGACACAAGAAAAACAATGGAATCTTATTTTGATTATTTGGGGATTTTGCAGAACGTATTCTCATGATATAGGTTTTTGTGAATTCAGCCATATTGCCCCTTCAATTGCTGACACGAAGCTAGAGTTAAGGCCAATTTTCCAGGTGCAGTTTCCTAGTCGAGTATGACATAATAAACAGAAACAAGTCAGGTGTCGGCTAGTGAGGAGGCCACTCTTTGATCAGTGAGTGAATACAAATATCTCTTCAGGGTGAATGTAAGGTAGGTAACTTTATTGTATACAAAATAATGTGAAATGATGACATAACTTCTGCAGAGTTTGTCATACTGTAAGGCAACATTTCAAATGCTGTAAGTAGTGTAGTTCCCTTTTACTGTAAACCATGACTGAGTTCATCGTAGAAAAGACTTCCAACAAGTCGTGTCTTTTTGTGGTACCAAGAAATGACTTGATTGATGTAGGTAAATACACAGTATAAACAAACTCTCAGGTCTATGTGGATATATCTTTGTATATTTGTGGAAACAGACAGGTCGGTCTTTGGTTCCACTCTAAAGTGCTAAAGGTTCTGTGGAGCAGCAGTGTCGAGTCTTTGGTTTCTGGTCACAACAAGTTCACTTTTATCACCAGTTTTGATCCTCTTTCACATCAGAGAAGTCAAACGTTTGCCTGCCCTTGTAATCCACACTGTGTCTTTATGTAGAAAAACGTCTCTCTAGCTCTGCCAGCGGAGAAGCAGAGACGTGATGAAGGTGAGGAGAGCCACGGTGACGTGCTGCTGGCTGCCTCTGTGCCCCCCTCTGCAGGCATTGTGGTTCAGATGAGGCCTGTTCTCCGTCCTGCTGAAATCTGACGGCTGGCTGCTGGCCGAGCATTGAACCAGCGGCATCTGGTAGGAGGACGCCCTCTTCTCCGTCCGGTCGGGGCTGGATCCGTCGCTGGGCCGCTGGCCGTTGAACAGCAGGTAGCGTCCGTGGGCATCCTGCTCCATGCGGAACAGCTCGTACTCCGTGTGGGGGAGGCGGATGCCCAGCGCCACACAGCCGTTTGTCAGGGTGACGTCCTGCTGCACCCCCATCTGCCAGGAGCCCTGCACCCCACACTCGTTACCGTTGAAAACGTTGAGCAGGGAGGTGGTGGCGACGTCCATGGGAGTGACTCTCATGTGGTTCACTAGACGAGGAAAGACACAAGAACACCCGTTAGCGCCCAATGCTTCTAACAGCAATCCTG